ATAGGAGGGCCTGCCCGTCCCCTAGCGGCCTATAGGAGGGCCTGCCCGTCCCCTAGCGGCCTATAGGAGGGCCTGCCCGTCCCCTAGCGGCCTATAGGAGGGCCTGCCCGACCCCTAGCGGCCTATAGGAGGGCCTGCCCGTCCCCTAGCGGCCTATAGCAGACCAGTAACCTGGTGTCGGTGGCTGGCAGTGACTGGCTGGCGATTATGGCCTTTGTCAGGCCAGTAGGCTTTTATGTTACGTACAAAGCAACACGACAGAAAGATTTATTATGTGGCTCCCAGTTCAGTGGACACAGTCAAAAAAAAAAAAAAACATAGCTATTATTGTTCAACTCCTTGTAGACGTCTAACAGAATGTGTGAAGTTTGTGTTAAATTTATTTATTTACTTTAGACCAAGTTTATGAACCACTACTTCAGACTCTTTCAGACAGATATGTTTCAAAGTCATAATTAAATCTGGGCAGAGCAAATGTCCCCAAAATGTGATAAAAAGCTGCTGTTTTGACCTTGCAGAGACACTTCTTCCTGTCCCCACAAGGGGAAATTCAATTTTATAAAAATCTGTAACTGCATTCAAAAAAGTAAAAATGCCAAAAGTCTTGTATTTTGTTTGGTTACCTATGGTTAAGGTTAGGGCTGGGTAGGTTAGGGCTGGGTAGGTTAGGGCTGGGTGGGGGTTAAGGTCATCATGTAGGGTTAGGGTGTTTATCATAGAAATGAATAGGGAATCCCCATAAAGGTATGAACACTAACATTGTGGGGGGGTGGGGTGTTGGATGACCTGATGTTATATATTATATAGTTTCTCCCAATATTTTTCAACTGAAATATCAGGACACACAGGAGGGACTATGTCTCTCGGCTGGTCTGGGAACGCCTCGGGATTCCCCCGGAGGAGCTGGATGAAGTGGCTGGGGAGAGGGAGGTCTGGGTTTCCCTGCTTAGACTGCTGCCCCCGCGACCTGACCCGGAAAAGCGGTAGATGATGGATGGATGGATGGATGGATGGATGGATATCAGATATATTTTTTAGACGTCACCCATCCCTCAGAAACATACCGATATTTAGGTACATTTCATAAATTATCAGATTATTGGGTTCATAACTAGGATTTTGTCACCAGGTATTGGTCTTGTGTTTCACCATATAATCAAAACAGAAATGGTTGTTATCCCTTTTCAGTGTGGATTTTACATACTTCACCATGTGCAGCGTGTTATAAAGAGCTTGTTTAATAAATAGGGGGGGTAGCAGCTCTTATTTCCGTTAGAGATCAATGGGATGGAATCAGATACAAGGACAAAGTGTAACGTTGTTGCTGATACACTGTTACACTTTTGGGCAACAGCGTATATAAATAAAGCTCCAGTACTTTTAGCTTGAGTGCATCCTGTAGGTCATTTGGTCAGATCCTGTGGTTGACAGTGGTGTCACCGTTGTGCCCGAGCGTGAGGCCCCTAACCCCAAACACCCCAGGGACTGGCGGCCCTGCTCTTTCCACACTCTCCTTTTGAATAGCGCATGTTAAATGAATAAAATCCTGTCCTCTTCCTTATTATGTCTGAAATCTCTATCGGTATAAACCTTTGAATAATATATGAGTTTTTACATGGGTTCTGGGTTTTGAAGGGTGGACTTTGGTCCTTATGCTTAGCGTGGAAAACGTTAAGTGGTGATTATTTTTTTTCCATCACTCTGTAGGGTCAAAGTCTGTCACCCGTCATGGAGGGCCGGCGACCCGCTGACCTCGAGGGTTCTGGGAATGACGAGTTCTTCGACGATGAAGACCTGTTCTCTGGCTCCGGATCCGGCTGTGAGTTTCCGTACCTGTAAGCGGGTTCCCGTTACCTGCTTCTGTGTGTCACTGTGCGCTTGTGTGTGTGCCGTAAGGTGGATTCCTGCCTGCTTTTGTATCTATATGTGCGTGACTCACGCATCCTTATTATATTGGTATTCAGTTTGTTACTGTTTCAGTCTCCCTTACACACACAGCTGTCCACAGCCAGCCTCAGCTGTGACCCTGTGATCCTGTTTGCTGTAATCTGATTTCAAAAAAGCACAGATCAGACTCTCTGATGCTGAGGAACCTGCTATGTGCTTGTTGCAGCTGTTTGTTTCTGTGTCTGTTACTTTTTTGCTGTTCTGTTTTATTGCATATTGTTAGCAATCCTTGGGTTTGACAAGCGTTGGGTGTGGCTTTGGGGTAGAGTGAGATGACATAGAGTTGGAGGTGCAAACGGAGCGTGTTCCCTGCAGCGCACTAACATCCCGTCCCGGCTTCCCCTGCCTGGACCGTCGTGTTTCCTGGGATTCGTCATTCAGGAGCCGCCCGCGGTTTCACTGATCTCTGATTCCCCATGGCTGCTCCGCAGGTTTCATGCTCCACGATTCTCTCAGTCGGAGAGCAAAACTCACAATCATCCGCCTCGTGTCAAAGAGCCGTAATTTTCCCGTCAGCTGCTGCTTCCTTAGTCATCATTGTGAAGGGCCGGTTTTGATGGCTTTATCTGCATGACAGAGCTCAGTCACGGCATCGGAGGCTGGGGGACGGGGGGTGCTGGGGGGTGCAGAGCGGATACCCAGAGAAACATGCTGATGGCATGAACGGCGTCCATCAGACCCAAAGGGATCCGTCCACTGCTCCTGGTTTCCCTCCGCCCAGTAGTCTCGAGTCTGTAAGGTGACTAGTGGCAGGTTACCAGTAATGGGATGGCATCGCCGTGGTAACGCTGCAGTGAGCTTTGGACTGTAGATATGTATGTGTGTGACTTTGAGAGCTGTAAACAGAGTGAATGTCTGCTCAAGTGAATTTCAATGACAGACTCTTTCTGTAAGGCCCCACTGGTCCCTGTGTCTCTGGGGCTTTGGATCCCGGCCCCCCCGGCCCAGCAGGGCGCCCGTGTTTGTATTCGAGCGCCAGGCGCCCCTCTGCTCGCTGGGCCCGGAAGGGGTGGGAGGTGAAAGGCTATTTATGCGTTTTGTTTTTCAGCTACGCCGGATCTAATGGCTCGAT